AGAGTAGGGCGAGGTTATAGTCGATAGTCAGGCGGCGTTCAATGACGTGTATGCGGGCGACGTTCTTTAGCTAGTTTAGCTACCGGGATGTACCTCGCACACCTGCCCAGTTTGTAGCAATTGTGCAAGGGGCCGCCGATGACTAGGCAGGTACCTCAGTAGAGCTCTAACGCAATCAAGTGGCTGGGGCAAGTCCCGGTTATTCGCACAAGTTTGCAGGCAATTCATTCATGTTGCATAATATCAGTATGGGCGAAAACCACAATAACTAGGACCAAAAAGTTTGCCCCGTTGGAAACGATCCTCAACTGCCAAAGAGGGACCGCTCACTATTGATGTGGTCAACCATTTGATGATGTGTTTAGCTTGTTACCTGACGGAGATTTGCTCGGATGACCGCATAATCGGCCGTGGCTCTGACGGTTGGTTTCAGTACCAACTGGACCTCTGGTCGCCGTCTTACCCGGTTGAAGAGCCCCTGCCATCCTTGTCAATGCCCTCGGCTAGGAACACAGTAAGCCAGGCGGTTGCGGAGTTCGAAACCCTTTCTCGGTCGCGATATATTAGTTCTGTGAGGCGAGGCTGCCTCGCTGTTGCAAGATACTAATGTAGCCGAAATTCAGAAGCCCAGTAGCCGGTTTGGCAGACCATTGTGGATGGCGTTCTCCAAGCACTGCACATGGAGTTTATGTATGCGTGTTGTGGTAAACAGCAAACTTAACTTGAAGGTCAGTGCGCTGAGTGGAATGTGGGTTGCCGCCATGAAGCCTACCCCGAGCTGGAGTCAGAAGCCGATCCGGGGCGAGTGGGTGCTGTGTTTATTCAAGTGAAGAATCAGTGGAGAAGTTTGCGGGAGTCGAGAAGTTTGCGGGAGTCGAGAAGTTTGCGGGAGTCGGGGCGTTTCAAGGAGATGGCGGAGGAAGGCTACCATGAGTGGTGCAGACCGGCTCGAAGCGGACTCGTCGTCGTAATTAGGCACCACCTTGTTCTGGCCTGGTCTTGTTCTGGCCTGATCTTGTTCTGGCCTGATCTTGTTCTATCGCTCATCACTCTCTAGCACCATCCTCACCGCAAAAGAAGCGACTCAGTCCGGATCCATACAGCAACCAACAGCCATCCATACAGCAACCAACAGCCAGCCAGCCGCTGCCTGATTTGTTATCCACTGTATCTTAGGCCTGGTTAGCTACTACTCGTTTTAGTATCGAGATAGAAGGTTAGATAGAAGGTTAGATAGTAAAGCGGGTAGTAGCTAACTAGACATAAGACGTACTGGATAATAAACCGGGAGCGGCAACCGGGAGCGGCAACCGGGGGCGACAACCGGGAGCGGCAACCGGGGGCGGCAACCGGGAGCGGCAACCGGGGGCGGCAACCGGGAGCGGCAACCGGGAGCGGCAACCGGGAGCGGCAACACCCTCTAGCATGCTTCGCTATAGAGGCCGACTCCGCTGGCAGACGTGGTCCAGGATTGTGCCAAGCTCGGCAACGTCGAAGGAACGTACCACGGCCCCAAATCCATGATTGGCTCGAACTGCAAAGCGCCCACGGATGCAGCAGCGGAGCAAAATTCTGGAGTAGGTGCTTGTAAAAAGCAGAAAGACCTCTTGATGACATGGAACGAACAGCTCTCTGGCAACTTGTCGGAGAAGTCGAAATGGGCTGCGGCGCAATTCGGCATCTTGCCTTTCCATCAACCACGCTTGGGCCTCATCAAAACCGATGAGCACTGGTCCGATGAATGATAATTTTTCGCTTCAGGTCATCCTCGGTCTTCCCCAGTATTTTCTGCTTCCCTTGCCTCCTTGTCCCGTATTCGCCCCGCCTCTGAGGTCTAGCTTAGCCTCAACCACTCCGCCTTCTTCAACCCACAACTCAACACCGAGAAGCCATTTATTATTTTTCAAATTCTCTGCTATGCGCAAAGACGACAACACCCTTCAAAAACGCCTGCGAAAGACGGAAGGAGGAAACCGACTTAAGCGGCTCTTCCCTTGCGCCATCTGTGAGATTCTTCCAAAGGTCGGGACGGGGTGGGTCGATGACGATAACTATCCCGTTGCTCTCGTCACAAGGGAACCATCAGTGGCTGCTAGTAAAACACTTCACGGCTCTTGTCATCGAGCCGGTTGACGACAACAACAGCCATTATCCTCGCTACACAGTACCTCATCTCCGCTCCTTCCAAAAATCTTGACTTGCCAAAAAAGAACCAGACCTATGTGCTAAGCATCTCGTCAGTAGTCCGGCCCGGCAGTAGGCGGTCCGCACATAAAACCTGGCTACTTCATCCCACCTCAGAAAATGCACCAAGACACAACACGCACACGACGACACGAGAGGAAGGTACTAGGGACGAGAGGAAGGTATTACGGACGAGAGGAAGGTCTTACGGACGAGAGGAAGGTATTACGGACGAGAGGAAGGTACTGCAGACGAGAGGAAGGTATTACGGACGGGAGGAAGGT